CCATACGACCATCATGTTGTCGTCCAAGACAAAGCCTTGAGTGCCATATGGACACCCACCGGTCGTATCTTTATCTCCGATCCACAGGCCAAAGGCGGGGTTTTGATTGTCTACCCGAGACACCCCTAGGCCAGACATATTTTTGGTCTAGCATCAACCCCCAGGGTTTGAGAAATTAAAACTTAAAATTAGCTATTTGGAAACATGGTGGTCGTGTGGCACTGAACGTGTTAAAGTTTACTTACATGTTGTTTATGTTGAGTCAAAAGGTTTTTAAAGCATCATCTGCTAAAAAATCTCTGTTCGGGTGGGGGGGTGTGACCTTGAGAAATGGGATAAGCCGACCAATCGTTTGAGGAGCCGATTTAGTCCCCACGACTGGCGGGGGTGCGGGTGTGGAGAGCGAGCACTGGGAAAGGGGTGTATGCGCAGGGAGTTAAACTGGGTAGAGAGTAAAAGTATTTCAATATAAAAAGTGATCTCCCCGCCCCCACCCCTCGACCAGCCCGATCCCGCACGAGTCGCCGATAGAGTTTCGCTGTTTCTCATGTCCGTTGTTCGTTCGGCCTCGGCGCGGAGGAAATTCAGTCTTTATTGAGGCTGTCGCGGAGACGACCGGACGACCGAGAGAGAGGAGGAAGAGAGAGAGAGAGAGAGGGAGTGCGAGGAGGCAGAGTAAGGAAGACAAAGACAAGCGTGTGGAGCGTACATAAAGGCAAGAGTCCAGAGAGAGACAGAGGCGGGGGTATGGATCGAAGGGTAGGGCAGAGAGGGGAGCTCTGATATACGATCCAATTCTGAATACCAATCTCACCGGACTAGAGATACAGTCAATTAACTTTCCGTTCGAATTAGCATGTCGTGCCTCTGATGAAAGTTTGTCCCAGGCAGGCATGAGGGCCTCGGCCGTCCCGCGTCTGCGCGCGTGCCAGCACAGAATCAAATAAAACGGGCTTTTTTAATTATGAAAATCAATTACTATAGAACAATGACGAAAGCCCACGCACACGCACACATGCGACCGCGGGCATCTTTTGAAAAAAGAATTCTTTAGCGCGCCACATCGTCCCCCTAGTACGAAGTTGTGCACGGTATGCCAATTGAAGCGGTACGGCGCTATGCATGCCGTGCCCGTTCGTTAATTAAAAGGCCCCGTTCACCACTCCCCTCCTCCCCGCTCCCCCTCCCCCCGCACACCCTGCACCAGCACCCCCTGCCAGTCTTAGCTCAACCCCTCTCCGCCGCTCTCTGCCCGCCAATCTACCCGCCGTCCCCGCGCTCCCGCCAAAAGCAGCCTCCTCCCGCGCCTCCCTCGGTCGCCTATAAGTAACTCCTTTTCGACCGGTGCACTGGTAAAACAAAGGTTGTCTCGTGTCGCACCTTGGCAGGGGTGCAAATAAGATGTTTTGAGTTTGATGCCCTGTAAACAAGACACTGGCAAGCAGTAAACGAGCTAAAAATTAGTGCATTGAGCAGTAAATACCTTTGCAAAGACCAAAAAACCCTTAGCACCTTTTCCAGGTGTGACAATCGTTTCTTTTGTAGCGTTCGTCATCGTTATGGAGGAGTAGAGACTGCACGGTGGGCAAGAGTCGACACCAGCCAGGACTTCCCTGCAGCCACAGCCGCATTCTAACGCACGCGCCCCCAGGGGGTGGCATTTACTGCATACCATTGCCATGAGAACAATTGGCGTGAGTGAACCATGGGATTAGTTTAAAAACATGTGCTCTTCATGGCGGGGCTCGGGGCAGCACCTCGGTTTGTTCTCCCGGATTAAACCGATGTTTGATGAAGCAAAACGACTTGTTTGCGAGCCGCGGACATTTCACTCTGCGTGCGCATAAATTCCCGCCAGTCCGAGGACCTCTTTATAACCGCTGATTGTTTGCGGGAACGATTCTTTGCGCGCGTGAGGACAAGTTTTATTATTATTCAGACCTAAGCACTAAGAGAATCGGCGAGTAAAATCACCAGGTCGGAACGCAAACAGAGGCCCATCTTTTAGTACTCAAACCTAAGGGACTGCTTGTGTACTGATTGCCTACCCTCCAGGCGCCCTCAGCCACAACTCGCCGCAAGGGTCACACTCACAATGCGAACGAGTGGGGGACCACAACACAGCTCTAGCTAGACCTGTGTAGCTACCAAAAGGGACGGTGCGTTTTCTCACTTCGTTAGTTGTTCTCGTACAATTAATACATTTCAAGAGGTAAAAGTTTTTGAGGTAAATTTTTAGAGGTAATTGAAATTGGAGGCAATCGACCCTTTAGAGGTACTTTGTTCAGAGGCAACGCTCCCGCCCAAATTTCTCAACAAACAAAAATGATGAAGATAGTTCATAGGAATACTTGATGACTTATGTCCCGGAACTTTTATCAAAATTTTGCGGGCGAAAAATCCTACCTCATGTACATGGACGATGATGTGCAATGAGTTTTCCATTTTCGTGGCCTTCTAGGGTGCAAAAATTTATTTATGGTCGGCAAAAACTGCGCCAAACCCGCGAGCCACTTCTGGAGAAACGCAATCCGGTTACACAATTTGCAATGTGTTTCCTGTGAAGCTACAAAAAAAGTGTTTTCTCGTCTGATCATATGACTATGGCGTGTTCGGCCGACCCGGCTAGTGTATATGTAAAACAGTGTGACTGTAGACAGGTCTGGACAGGTCATAGTAAAGAATGCCGTAGTTTGAAATTATTCATCTTTTGTACAAGATAATTTTATTATTATTATAATAAAACAACATTGGGTGACAGTTTCAACAATTTTACAAAAACAAAAAACTTAAGACTTACATACAACTAACAGGTGTTGGGGATTGGAGTCCCAAAACACAAAGGCCAACATCAAGTGGCTATGATCACACAAGGTCACAAATGGTCAAAATGGACAAGGACGCGAAAGGTCAGAACAAAAGATCCGTTGCACCCCATTAACAAAAATGATACCTCCACAGTTTTCAAATTTCAATACTTAATTTGTTATGCCAAAAAATGCAATGGAGGTGATGATTGACAAAGGGAAATCCATAGTATCAGTGAAAAAGGGCTAAGAAAGGTTCCTGCTATTTTTTTCATAATTAAAAACAAAATGTATGTATCATTAAGTGTCATATGCCGCGCGGGCAAAAAGATAGGTTTACATCAACAACAAAAAAGATGGGAAAGTTTTAACATGAGAATCCAAAAATATGCGCTACACATAAACTTACGCTACAACAAGGTACATGAACGTATGTTAATCTATATGGTCATTTAAAATTTTGCGCGGAATATGACGAAGAGAAATGAGATGCGAGGAGGTGCAGCTCGACAAGTCCAGGAAATGTGAAGATTTCCACAAACTTCGAGAATGGTTTTATGAAAATATTATTGCTTTCTGACTGTTGACAATTTACGCAATCCGAAAGAAATCATGATTTCTTTGCAAAGACGGACTAATTTTGGGCTCACTTTAACGGCTACAGTGAGGAACACGTCAGTCCCTTACAGTTGCATCCTCCTCGCTCGGTTGATAGGGAGGGGGAAGGAAGGAAACAAGGACTGGTGTAGGGGAGGGGGCGAGTGAGGGGGAGATGGACAGACGACAACAATAAGCTAGCAACACATATAACAACAAACACTTTTTGAGACCTTCCTGGTCCACCCGTCACACCGGGTGGGACCCTCCAGCCAACGGAAAGCACAGCGCCCCGAGACGGCTCGGCAGCCACTTTCACTCAATGAAGTGCGTGCTTTCCACCGGATATCACAAGTTTGCCAATGACGATGTCATGGATAAATTATTAAAAGTAACCATAGCAGTTCGTTCCGTGTCAACCGCTGATACGCGTGGCAGGGGTGGTGGCCCCGGCTAGCCTGCGTCACCGCTTCGCAGGGGGGCTCAGGTTCGAAACCCCGACTCTGCGCGGAGTGTCCGGTCTTAGAGATCAGAGCCAGTGACGCACACCACCCGAGTTCACCTTCTCACGCAGACACACACACATTCTCTCACTCACGCATACAAACACTGAACGACGGCGCGCTCGTCCGCGAAGAACGAGTCCCCAAAGTGGAATGCTTTCTCACATTGCTGCACTCACAGGTACCGATTGAGCAATAACTGCACACACGCACACACTAGGGCGGGCATGGCGAGAGGTAGAGGCCCCCCGGCACTGGGCTCGGCCCAGGGCTAGTGTCCTCGACGAGGCCTAGAGGTCCAAGCGGCCCGCCCAGCGACCCGTGTCCGAGGCCCTGTCCGAGGCCTTGTCCGAGGCCCTGCCCTTGCCCGGGCCCGCCGGGTAGTGAGGCCATCTGGCTGGACGAAAGGTGGCCGGCGGTCATGAGGAGGCCCTGCGGAAGGAGGCCGCCCGGGCCGAGGCCACCGGGGCCGAGGCCCGGCGCCAGGCCCGGGGAGGGCGGTTGCTGCTGCTGGTGGAGCTGGCCAGGGCAGGGGAGGCTGAGGCCCACTCCCATCGCCTGCGTGGCCCGCCGGCGCCCCCTACCTCGGCCCGGACCGGCCGAGGTCAGCAAGGGGGGCGCCGAGTCGTCTCAGTCGCGGCTCCTCCGCGGCCGGCCCACCTTGCCCTTGCGCACGCCGGTGGCGGCGCCGGGCCCCGCGGGCACGCCGGGCGCCGCGCCGCCCTTCATGAGCTTGTGCCAGTCCTGCTCGCAGACCAGGGCGCCGCCCAGCAGGTGGTAGCGGTCGCCGGGCACGAGCTGCGACCCGCACTTGGAGCACGAGAAGCACTTGAGGTGGAAGACGTGCAGCGGCGAGGGCGCGTTGGGGGCGTTGGGCGCGCCGGGGCCGCCCATGGGCCCGCCGCCGCCCACCCGCATCACGAACTCGCTGGGCGGGATGGTCTGGCCGCACGCCGAGCACGCGCCCGTGTTGCCGAATAACCTGCGGACACAAGAGAGGCACGCGTCAGAACAGAGGCACAAGCACGAGCATGACACAATCAAGTCCTGTAGGAGAACGCCCGAACGGAGGCAAATAAAAATCGGAAGGAAACGGCAGACGGCTGAAGCTGAACCGCAACACGCATGCGTGCCGGAAGAGTTGCCTACGAGGCGCGGCTGGCTCGCGGCCCGCGGCGCACGATGGGTGGCCTACCTCGCCGGCGCCACGTCCGCTCGGCCCGCGCCGCACGCGCAGTAAAACGGGTCAGAGTCGCGGATCAATCAATGTTATGGCTGAGCGTGTGAGTGTGTCGCGCGCGCGTCTGTGTGGATTGGCTACTGAGTGAGAGAGAGAGAGAAACGGAAGAGAGGAGAGACCGTCGGGAGTTTGCGCAAACGAGGCGATAGGAGAGCTGCTGGCCACCAGAGCTCGGGGACGTCCCCGGACCGTGCCCACCCACCGGTCCTGGAGTGTTCCTCCAGTGGCACCGCCACACTACGCCCTTCCCTGAAGTCCGATGGCCCAGGGCCACGCCTGGAGTGTTCACCCTGCAGGGGCACCACAATCTTCACTACGCCCCGCTCTAACTCTAAAAGCCTGGAGGCCCCCGGGCCGCGTCATGGAGCGTTCCTCCTCCTCCAGGGCCACACCACTACCATCACTAGGCCCCGCCGCGCCGTATTGAGAACAATAGGATCGAGTTTCCAAGTCATCAGCGTGCTGTTTGACACATGACGGAGAGAGAGAGGGGGGAGGGGGTGATGCGTCCGGAATGAGCGCGAGAGAGGAGGGGGGGGGGGGGGGCACCTCCCCCTCTCTCCCGGCCGGCGCTCCCACCCACGCGCCTCGGACGCACCGCGTCTCCTTCTCTCTAATGAAGCGGCGCTATGCGAGGCTTGGCGCAGCTCGGCGCTGGCCCCGGCGCGGGTCGCGCGGGCGGAGGGGCGGCGGCGGGCTTAAAACGCCTTAACGAGAGCCGGCGGCGGGGAGGGGCAGGGCAGGAGGCGAGGAGAGGATGTCCTCGACGGCGCCCCGGGACGAACCACACTCCAGCGACGAGTGCGCTCTGCACTCGGCGTGATAGCGGGGCGTACACTAGTTGTCGCGGCGGGGGCCAGGGACGGCTGCCGCCGCCGCTGCAAGTGGTCGAGGTGAAGCGCGCGAAGTATAAAGCGCGCGAGCTCTCCTCTCCTCCCTCTCCCTGCTGCCAGTGGCCGTCGGAGCGGCTGCACACGCAAGTAAACACGGCTCAACGGGGCGCGACACGAGTGGCAGCCGCAGCCGCCGCAGCCGCCGCAGGCGCGGCAGGCCGGCAGGAGGCAGATCTCGCGAGATATCGACGCGATTACCGCCGCGATCTCTCTATTCATCCCATCCATTGGCTGCGCGCGCCCGGCCCCGCGAGCTGGTGGCCCCTCGGCGCCCCCCGGCC